GATACCTCTAAATACTTCATATTAACCCTTTAATGAGAACTGATCTAATGATGATCTAATAATTTCATTGTAATTAATGCAGTTATGAGAAAATCAAACAATGTTTAGATTAATATGGACATATAATGGTGTAGTTATTTACCTGAGTGTCATTCATGTTTTTGTATTATTGATCCATGTCACATTGTGAGCAATAACAGTATTGTAGAGTTTTAGGCTTTTATCATCTATTCTGACTCAAATAATCTGTTTAACAGCAAACACTCTGTGAGATGATAAATATATAGTGAGATATAATAAAGTGAGATGATCTGTTGGATGATCCTGAATGGCTTTTTGAATGAGTGTTGATAGTCTGAGGCTCATCGATATTAACAGATCTGCTGAAAACACTCTTTATTTCATGACAATAGTTCCTGTTTTCACCTCATTTATTATGCTGATGCCTTCAAATATCCTGTAAATGGCCACTTAAAGCTCTTTTCTACAGAGCCCCTAAAGGGAGATGGTGGAAAAATATTTGGGATGGGAGTGCAAGTAAAATCTTTTGCATTCCCTCGCAAAACTTCTGTGTTCCCTCTCAAAACTTTTACGTTCCTTCGCAAAGACATCCGCGTTCCCACGAAAAACCTATTGTGAGCTCGGACAAACACGTCCTGTTTAATGTCCCGCTGGCAGTGTATCTGAGATCCGTACGTTAACAATGCACATTCAAGGAGTTTAGTAAAGTTGGCAATATATTCACAGATCTGAACTTCCCGGATCAATAACTCTTGAGCTAAACTTTGTTGAAACACAAATGCCAGCTATTTCCAAATTATCTCTATGAGCAGGCAGTGAGAGACACGTCCTTAGGGAAAGTCTGCAAAGTGCAAATCCCCAAAAAGTGTTACTACAAAAAAAGTCATTAATGTTAAACACTGTAGTGTCACCAAATTCAGTTTACACATCAATGGTCTCCTACTGGTCATACTACAACACTTAGTTTGATAAAATGTGTTTTTAGAAATTGTTATACTATGACTTTGTAACACACCAAATTCAGTTTACACATCACTGCTCTAATGCTGGTGGTGTTAGCCCGCGTACACTGCAAGATGTTTAGCTAAGATAACATTAAATTGCCACTTTATTCTAAGACATTAGAGCATTTGTGGTCTGTATCAAGTCATCTTCATTTATATAGCGCTTTTAACAATGAATTGTTTCAAAGCAGCTTTACAGAGATAAACATATAATTTAAGGTAACAGATTGTTTTGGCGTTATAGCGGTTCTTGAATCGCAATCTGTATCGATTGGCAATCACCATCGCACACCTGCAGGTCATAGGTGCGTGGGAAAAAAGACCAATTGGGTAGGTAAAAAAAAAAAAAAAAAAACAAGGAACTCCAGCACACTATCAATACTTGCAAATGAGTATCAAAATTTTATTAGCAATGTTTTGGTCTCACGACCTTCATCAGGCATGGTCTGTCTATCAGAAACTTATAGACTTGTGCCCTCATCTAAACAGCAAGTAAAAAAGTTCACCCTAAGTCAATCAGCTACATTTGAGGCATAAAGATTAATAAAAGAAAAGTATTAAACACACATTTCAAATGATAATGTATGTTTAATAATGGTAAACACATCAACATGATAATAATGATTTCTTAAAATATGATTCCTTTCAGTAATAAACTCATCATTCCTGGGTAATTTCACTATTTTCAACATTCACTGTGCGGTTAGATAATAAAATTGCTGACTCATTATCTCGATTAAATTTCCAGGAATTCAGATGGTTATGCCCAGGTGCTTCCCCAACAAGCCTCTGCTGCCCTCCCTGCAGACTAGCTGTCCTCGACTACCGTATATGACTCTCTAGAGCACCAGATCTCCTCAGCTAATCAATTCATGAGATTAGGACTGGAAAATACACATTAAAACCTATGATTTTGCCTGGTCTTACTATTCTTCATTCTGTTGCACATGCAGTTTCTACTGTTCCAGTTAAAATTCCTACAGTATGTGCCTTCATCGTCCATTGTTTTGAGTCAAAAAATTGCAGCCGTCATCCATTAAAGCACTAGTATAAGGAATTGAATTCCATCTAAGATGCTTGGTTCCCGAGACGCAAAGATCCTCCAGCCCGATCTCACGGCAATTCGTACAAATTTTACGAGGTGGCTAATTCGTAATTCATACGACCTCACTCGTACAAATTCGTACGATTTTTGCTAATTCGTACATATTTTATGAGTTACCAAATTCGTATGAATTCGTACGAATTACTTACCCCCGACCCCGCCCCTAAACCTACCCATCACGTGGGTTTAGACAAATCGTACGAATTCGTACGAGTGAGGTCGTATGAATTAGTACGAATTAGCCACCTTTTAATCACTCGTACGAATTGGTCGTGAGATAGCGTTACATCCTCCATCGGCCTTCTCCTGGATGGCCTTAAAAAGGAAAATCCAGCAATTAATGATAAACGTTTACCTTTCACACTCCCTATAGTAGTCCATCTGATGATTTCACAGCTGCGCACGGGTTTCTTTGACCCATACACTAACACACTCCTGGAAGCAGTATTTCTTTCAGCTTTTTATGGTTTTCTGAGATTTACTGCATGTTCTAAAAATGTTAAGCCTTCCCAAGACCTTTCACTAGCTGATCTCTCACTGAAATCTAACTATTTTGAAATTCATAAACATTCTAAGTCAGATAAAGAAAAGAAAGGTGTGTTTGTAACCATATCTCGTACTTCTGAATTTTGTCCCCTCTCTTCCATGGTCCAGCACCTGAACTACCGCACTCATTCACATACCAACGAGCCACTGTTGACAAGACATCATGACAAGATGCACACATCACCTACATCTCCTTTGCCAATATTGTAGTCTCGCTAACCTCTAACCTCTATACAGCGCACTCCTTCTGCATCAGACCAGCTAGAACAGCAGCTTCTACCATCCCTTCTCCTATGCTCAATAGAATGGGACAATGGGAATCTGCTTTCCAATGCTACATTCGCCCATGAACTAATGACATATAGCAAGCCCAGAAAACCATGAGCCACCACATAGACTCAACCTCTGTTATGAACAGAACTCGCTAATCCATCACAATGTACCACTTACTCAGTTTTTTGGGGGATTGATAATACATTTCAGAGTAAACAAATTTATTTAAGTACAGTCTTGCTTCTATAGTTCATCTATGCATGCATGGTCAGACTCTGAAGACTAGCTCAGGGAACCGCGTTCCCTACCCTCTTGAGGTACAAGGGGTTAATTTTAAGGGGTTAATCCTGACTTATTGAGTTTGAACTACTTTATTGTGTAGGGGGATTTATGCCTCAAAAATGTATCTCAAACTGTATGGCAGCTGAGCCCCTTGTAGCCTAAGACTTTCGCCAAATCTAAGAATTGTCAAGAAATTTTATTCTTATTCTCAAAAGTGGTCCTGACTGAAATCAAACTGTACGACATGGATCTAATAAACTTGGGTACAACATGTATGTAGACGCTACGATGGTGACATATATTGTATCGTAGGCTACAACGCAAGATAGTATAAAAAATAAAACTTCATCAGCATGTACTAGTAGTAAACAAATAGAGCAAGATTAATCACACTTCGGCAATTGTGGTTTTTATGTGCGTTGAAAAAAAGAGGAGAAAGTGAAAGAGGAGAATATGAATGTGGTCATGGCTAGGGAAAAAGAGGCCAAATGAGGTAAGTAGTTTTAAGTTTTAGCGCCATGCCGTGTTGATCAATACGCCATTTCATGCTGCATTTGTATTGGCTAGTCAGAAGATGTAGGTCGTAGCAGCAAACAAACTGTGAGACGATCATGCTAAATTTCTTACACTATCAGAAAATGATCACAGGCTATCTTTGGTCGCAAGACCATGACAACATCCGTCTTTGAACCTCTCTCACTGTAAATAGCGCAGTTTACAGAGCTCTGGAGTTGTTTCATCTTCTGTACAGGAGTAAACACACAAAGGAAGAGGTTGAACCCAGCTGCAGGATCTTTATTGACAGTAGTGGGAAACAGGTAGTGAACAGGTTTTTGAGCTTAACCTGATCAGATGTCCATCCAACAGTGGATCTGTTGATTAAGATGGATCCATACAGGAGGAATGAATGAAGCAGACGGGAGATTATAACCACAAGGGAGATTGACGAAGATCTGAGTGTTTGAAGAAGTGGGTGCCGGTGTTGTGCCTAATTTCGACCCCCTGCCAAACTATTACCCCCCTCATTGAAGTCAGTACCTGATTGCCTAATCCCAACCCCGCCCCTAATCCTACCCCCTCCCCCACAACTAATCCTAAACCTACCAATGCTAGGGGGGTAATAATTTGGCTGGGGTCGAAATTCGGCACAACACCGGGGAGAAGTGAGTCTTTAGAGAGAGATTGTGATGAGTATACCGTATGTGCAGTATTTGATTAGCAAGTGATGAGAAACAGGTGTGTATCTGCATATCATGGAGAGTGGGCAAAGAGTGAAATGAGCCCAGTGCAGGTGTAACAGGTTTATGAGAGGAATATATTAATACAATATAAAAGACTAAAACCTTGTGAAGTACTAAGGTTGTGCACAATGAAAAATGAGTGACCTGATGCACAGGTGTATGGACGATTGGAATACACCCAAATAATTCACTTTAAATGCTAAAAAGAGGTTCATACTGGGGTTTGATGGTTCTGATTATCATATTATATTTTTCTTTCATGATTGGTGATAGTGGTAAGTTACAATCCCACTAGAAGTGGGCTGGACAATCATTAATAGAAGAGCTTCTTGCATATGTTATTTCTATCCCTGAGGCCGAGTGCATCAGTGTGGTCTATATTTGACACCGAAGTGTTTGGTTCACCCGTTTACTGTGGAGTCAGCTGTGTCAGATGGACAGACTGTAACCTGAGATGAGATTTGAACGTACTTCCTCACTTTACTCTGCACCTTATACCTACCCAGACAACCTGCAGTCAAGCTAGTGAATCTCTTTACCAAGTGCCTGTCTCCATTTATTTTACCGGGTAGAAGACATCCTGTCAAAGAGGGGGGCAAGAAAGATTTGCTGTGCACTCTCTTTGAGAGGGCAAGAGGGCAACAAGGTGGGTTTTTGTCTTTTAACATCCGTTAGCCTTGGTTTTGTCAGCCCACTGGAATTTAGCCCACGCTAACAGGATACACTGGTAAGGCTCCAGATTGTGAAGTACGTGGGACATGTGCAAAGAAATTGTTTTTCTTAGCATGAGAGGTGGCTAATTAGTTGCTTTGACAGAATGGATATTTGTGTAATTAGACATATATATGTTGTTTTGCTCCAAAAGGAATTTGCTCATGTTTGACAGACAGACATTACATGGTTGTGCAAAAACTATATCAGGCTTCAGTGCTGATACTGAAACATCTGTAGGTGCTTAAACTCCATTCCACTATTCAAAAGGTTATCCAGATTATTTTGTGAGGAAATATTTGCAAAACAGTAATCCAGTTGGTTAAAGTAGTAAGCAGAAAAAGTGTATTAGAATACAGTCTTTGATGTAGGGCTACATATTTTTGATATTTGTTATTATCCCATCATGATACTTTTCATGAAATACAATTTACATAAACATTTCCAGTGATTCTTTGCAGCACTTTGCAGAACCCTGTTCTTATCTTTCTGTGTGGGATCTGGAGTTTCTATTTGGTTCTTTGGAGTTCTTGATGTTTCATTTTAGGTTCTCCAACAGCATATTAGTTTTTGTGGGATTTAAGGCACCAGTCCGATTGTCAAAATAACTAGTTCTTTCTCTAAAAAGTTCGAAGTTATGAAATTTCCATGGAATTTATTTCCTTATGGATTCCCCCCTCCAGACTGTAAATCCTTTTTTATTGTAAATGGTACCTTTATTTTTTATCGTGTACCTCACTATTGAATGAATGCACTATAAAAATCATATTCACAAGGTAATTTGTGGAAACAATAATGATAATTATTACAAGATAATTCTTATTATCCCTTGAAACTGACACGGAGAATGAATTTTTCTGATTATTTATTTGATAAATCCTCTTCACTCAAAAAATCTGTTTGCTCAGTTTACTTAACTAAAATGAGCTAAAGCAACACAGATTGCTAAAAAATATAAAATATTTTTACTTAATTGTCGTTTGCTCTCAATTTTATTACGCCAAATAAAACGAAATTTGTCAAATGTTAAGTTAACTTAATCCAATTGTATTGGGACTGCATGAATAATTTTTATTGCATTGACTGAAACTAAGCAGTGGATTTCTATTTCCCAGTATGTTTTGCATAGGGCTGGATAAGGAGTGCACATTTTGAAATTAAGTGCTAATGTGTTTTGAGTGAAGGAAAGACCTGTTAATGTTTAATGTTCAGTTATGTTTGACATTTAAAAAAGTTTTTTGGTTACCATTGTGCTGAAGAATAAAGCTTGTGGTTAGGCTGTGGGTGGCTACATTCAATCCATTTCAATTCAATTCACATTTATTTAATATGCGCTTTTCACAATAGATATCCGTCTAAAGCAGCTTTACAGAAAATGCATGAGTCCACATTACAATTCAGTGTGATCTGTTATCAGAGGTGACTAATGTATCTCAAAAATGTTCATATACAAATCACACAGTTAGTTAACATCATGTATTAAGTTGTGAACATAATGATCACAATATAGAAAAGTTTTCATTGGTGTCTGTTGATTCAGGAGTTGGAGACGTCTCTTCACAGATGTTGGACATCTAAAGTCTTTGTAAGAGGCTAGATCAAAAACTGGAGCTGACACTCTCTAGTTACCTCAGAATGGGCATCCCGAGATAAAACAGAAAAGCAAATGGAAAGAAATTAGAGTAGCTGCTGTTCATAACATTTCAAGCTAAGATAATCATGTGCTTTTGATATGATATAACTGGAGTACAAGGTTATGAGATGCATTATGTGAATGTTTGGCTAAAGAGATGTGTCTTTAATCTAGATTTAAACTGTCTGAGCCCAAAACATTATCAGGAAGGCTATTCCAGGAGTTTAGGAGCCAAATGCGAAAACACTCTCCCTCCTTTAGTGGACTTATATATCATAGGTACTACCAGATCTTAAAGATGGATAGTAGGGCGATAGAATACATACAATACAAAGAAGCTGTACTCAATAAGCCATAACGCTCACAGAATACGTCAAATGAAATTGGTGTGATCTCATTGAATTAAGATTAATTTTAAACATCAGTACAACTACCCTAGTTTAAGTTTAAATCACTCTATTCAACTGTGTGGAAATGTGTCAGAATTTTTTTTAACTGAGACCAACAAGCATTTTTCTTTTTTTTTGAGTGAGGTGGCACTTTCAAATCCAAACCAGGGTGAAAGATTTATCCTACACCATGTGTTTCTAAATGCAACACACAGAAGGCACAACAAAATTAGCCCAGGGGCTGCTCAGGTTTCGTCGCTTCACTCTATTGAGTACCAGTGAAATGACATGTAAAGGGGTTAGGCTCAGAGCTTTGCAATGGATAAAGTCAACGATATGTTTACCAAACTTGCTCATCAAACAAAGGGTTTTTAATTTTTTTAATTTTTTAGTCGTGCTCATTTGCAACTTTACACTACACTACAGGATGACCCTTCTTGGTATTGTTGTTTAGGGTCTACTTTATGCCACAGGTTTTTGTGTATTGGATGTGTATTAAAGGTGACACGTGAGTCTTTCTCAAGAACATATTACAAATTCCACCACTAGTCAAGTCAAGTCAAGTCATCTTCATTTATATAGCGCTTTTAACAATGGATTGTTTCAAAGCAGCTTTACAGAGATAAACATATAATTTAAGGTAACAGATTGTTTTGGCGTTATAGCGGTTCTTGAATAATGTTACTTCCAGCTAAAGTTAACTTTGATTGATTCACCTCCGTCGAAATGATCAGACTTTAAACGCGAACCTGTGATTAACGCTGACGGCGTTCACATGCTCATTCAGAATAGTTATGTGCTTTTTAAAATATGTGCGCAGGTTTGTAATTCATACAACCCAGCCTAAACAAACTACTTTTCTTGCCTATAAATTTTGATACAGAATTTTGTTTTATTTTATCACTAGTGCAAATTGTAATTGTGCATTTAGACAAAATCTCTCTTTCAACAAATACTAATAAACATAATAAAGCCTTCATGCCCTGCTTAACTCAGTATTTCTCTTTTCTTGAATTTTCAAGTGTCTCCTCCTGGGCTCATCAACACGCGCTGGAGATACTGGAAACATGGCACAGTAAGACACACAGACAGATAAAAACATGCTCTTTAAACATAATAGTTTACCCAAAAATGTCAACTCTGTCTATATTTACTCACATTTAAAACCTGTCAGGCTTGCTTCTGTGGACTATAAATTAAAAAAATATGAAAACTGTGCAGGTTACCTTTTTCATGCAGTTAAAATGAACAGGTATTCAAGGTTTCATAGCGCCAGAAGTAGTTTCAGTGTGTCCCTTGCATTTAGCAACTGTAAAGACTTAATAAATACTGGTAACATTTTATTTTAATGTGTCCTTGTTACACGTTACATGTATTTACTAAACTAATACATGTAAATGATCCATAATTACATGGCGCTAACCCTATATCAAACCCTAATCCTATAAACCTATAATAAGTACATGTAGTTAATTAATATTAATCAGTACTTAAATGTATAATTACACTGTAACAGGGATGCATTAAATGGAAAGTGGAAAGATGGAAAGTATAACCGAAATACTGTATAGTGCACAGTTGTGTGAATCCACATTCATATACTTTTATGGTGTTTGTTTTTATTGGTTTGAGAAAAAAAGTGACCAGCACAGTTTCAGTTATAGACCAGATCTTCTGTAACATTACACATGTATGGAATGTGCACTTCCTCACAATGCAATGTCATTTATTATAAATTTGATTAAAGTCCCCCTGTGATGAAAATCAAGTTTTTAATGTTGTTTATGTCTATGAGGTGTTTTTCATATGTTTTAACACAATCCATGTGCAAATTCATAAGTCACATTCATAAGTCAGTATTTTCTCCTTAAAACTGCAGTGATCTAAAGATAGTCACAAAAACGCGGGTTGAAATCGCTGGTGTTTCAGACGTCACAAACTACCTTGTAAGTTGTAACCAATCAGATCAATGTGCCGGCAGGCTTTAGCATATCATTAACTGTGACTGTTCTGGAGCAGGAGTCTCGAGAGAAGCCAGGTTATCATGGTATATTTCTCTGTTGATATGAAACATCAGGTACATTTTGTCACGATGCAGCAGAAACAAGGAGGAAGCAGGATCCACATGCAGCACACTTTATTCCATAAACTGAAAACAATACAAAGACTCAGACCAGGAACAAGACTCAGGCGCAGTAAAACCAACATCGACAGTAACAACACAAGAATTCACAAGGACTGAACTGAAACACAGGGCTTAAATACAAGGGCAAACAAGCTAAACGAGATAACGAGGGGCGTGGTATACATGAACACAAACGAGGAGCGGGAAAACAGGGAACAGGACTGAACCAAATGCACAAAGACAGGGGGAACACAGACAGACATCACAACATAGCCCCCCCTCTATGGGCGGCTCCCGACGCCCAACAAAACAGGAAACAAGACAGTTCGGGAGGGTGGTGGAGCGGAGGCGGTCCCGGGGGAGGGATGGAGGGCCAGGTACGCGCAGGGAACGGGACCAGGGCCTTGCAATGACAGGCATGGGCCATGGAACGTGGGCGGAGCTGGACGAACAGGCTGCCAGGGCAGAGCAGGCTGTGGGCGTGGCCATGGCAGAGCAGGCTGTGGGCGTGTCCACGACGGAGTAGGCTGAGGGCGAGGCCACGGCGGAGCAGGCTGTGGGCGTGACCAGGGCGGGGCAGGCTGTGGACCCTCGGGCGTCCAGGGCGGAGCTGTCGGACCCTCAGGCGTCCAGGGCGGAGCTGTCGTACCCTCGGGCGTCCAGGGCGGAGCTGTCGGACCCTCGGGCGTCCAGGGCGGAGAAGACCCCTCGGGCGGCCACGGCGGAGAAGACCCTTCGGGCGGCCATGGTGGTGGCCTACTGCCCCCCCCAAAAAATGTCTTGGGGGTAGCTACGGGGTCGTAGCCTGGAGCAGGCACCGGCTCAGGACCGAACCCCGGCTCAAGAGATACAGGCAGAACCAGGGGTGAAGAGGGCTTTAGGCTGGGCAGAACCAGCGGTGAAGAGGGCTTTAGACTAAGTAGGACCAGCGGCGAAGGAAACTCTGGGCTGAACAGGACTGGCGCAGGATCAGCGGGCTCTGGCGCAGGATCAGCGGGCTCTGGCGCAGGATCAGCGGGCTCTGGCGCAGGATCAGCGGGCTCTGGCGCAGGATCAGCGGGCTCTGGCTCAAGTGTCTGCGCAGCCCACACACACCACAGGGCTGTGGCCATAATGGCCAGTGTTGCGGTCACTGAGGGCTCCGGCGGCGCATGCGTGGCGTGGACGGTCTCTGGCTGGGCAGACGCGACGTGGACGGTCTCTGGCTGGGCAGACGCGACGTGGACGGTCTCTGGCTGGGCAGACGCGACGTGGACGGTCTCTGGCTGGGCAGACGCGACGTGGACGGTCTCTGGCTGGGCAGACGCGACGTGGACGGTCTCTGGCTGGGCGGTCTCTGACTGGACGGTCCAGACGGTCTCTGGCTGGACGGTCTCTGGCTGGACGGTCTCTGTAAGGCTGACGTGAAGGAACTCAGGCTGGACGGGGCTGACATGAACTGACTCAGGGGGTACTGTGAGCTTGCGGGGTGTTTCATCGGCCAAGCCCACAGTAAAAGCTGAACCGCTCAAGTACAGGGCCAGGTCGATATACCCTTCTAGGGTCCAGCCGGTATAGTCGTCCGGCATCCGCTGAGCAATATCCGCATCGAGCCCGCTCCAGAACAGGTCCACGAGTTGGGTGTCATCCAAGGACCCCAGATGACAGCAATTCACAAAGTCCCTCACATACCACTCTATCGGCTGTCCGTCTTGGAACATTGAAGAAAGCATTCTTATTAGCACTCCATTGCTGGCAACTGCTGGATCCATCTTTGGTGAGTTCTTCTGTCACGATGCAGCAGAAACAAGGAGGAAGCAGAATTCACATGCAGCACACTTTATTCCATAAACTGAAAACAATACAAAGACTCAGACCAGGAACAAGACTCAGGCGCAGTAAAACCAACATCGACAGTAACAACACAAGAACTCACAAGGACTGAACTGAAGCACAGGGCTTAAATACAAGGGCAAACAAGCTAAACGAGATAATGAGGGGCGTGGTATACATGAACACAAACGAGGAGCGGGAAAACAGGGAACAGGACTGAACCAAATGCACAAAGACAGGGGGAACACAGACAGACATCACAACACATTTAGCAATATAGCGGATGTATGATGTATATTCCGATGTTATGATCAACTGTTCTGTGTTGTTTAAAGCGTTTCTAAGGATAATGGCAGCGGTCTGACTCTGAGATGGCGAACGGTAACATGGTTCATGTAACATCAGCAACACACTATAAGCTGTTTGATAACATAGTCAAGCAAAAGGCTAATCATATTAATTACCGTTATATGTCCGTCGTGCAGCGTATACTAAATGAGGCAAGGGTGTAGAGTTACATTCAAGCTATTTTAAGGAATGAAGACATTTTTGTCACAGGAAAAAACTTTGGTGATCAATGATGAGTTTTAAGGGATAAAATTATTGACTACAGGGGGACTTTAACAATTAGTTATGTAGATTTCTCAATCTTAAAACTCTAATGGTTATATGTGAATTTTAAATGTTTATATAGCCTACTTATGAATCCATTGTCATACTTGTTGTGACGATGTTCGGCTGGATTGCCCTCTAGTGTCACGAGAGGGCGCTCCACTTCTGCACTGGCTTCCCTTGGACTGTTTTTGCACACACCCTGAACTGATTGCGCACACCTGTTTCCACTGATCACTCTCACACCTGCATCTAGTTCCACACGCAGCTCCACACTCATTTATACCCCACTCTCACTATCACTCATGGTTAAGTCTTGTTTTACTGTTGTGGACATCACCAAGCCTTTCCGAGTCTAGTCCTGTCTGTGTTTCTGACCCATCGCCTGTTTCCTGGATTCCGTTTCATCTGCCGCCTGCCTCTGTCTTCCCGCCTGGTTATCAGACTCTGAGTATTGCCTTGTCTTGCCTTGTCTCCTATGCTGTGTCTGCTGTCTGTGACCATTGCCTGTCTGACTACCCTGTAAATAAACTCATGCTGCGTCTGGATCTACCCGTCTCTGGTTGTTCATGACAGAAGCCACACCAGATCCAGCAGCATGTCAGCCTTGTATGCCTCCCAGTCAGCCGCCGTACACCAGGATCAACTGGCCCAGTCAGCCGCCGTACACCAGGATCAACTGGATCAACTCACCGCGTCGTTGGAGAGGTTGGCCAAGATGGTTCGCGGCCTTCATGTTTCCCCACCGGGACCATCGCAGAATCAACCCGTCTCCACAGTTGTTGGCCCAGGACCAATCCCGATGTCACGCCAAGCTGTCCCGGTAAAATTCAACAGCGAGGTATTTCGACGAGCTCACACAGCGATTCCGAGCACGGATACGGGAGCTGAGATAATGCAACTTCATCAGGAGGATCGTTCTCTCGAATGGTATGTGGCGAAGTTTTATGAACTTTCTCATCATACGTGTATGAACAACGTTTTCCTAACGAACCTGTTCCGCGGAGGGTTGTCTGAACTGCTTCGCTCATTGATGCCCAACCCAGAGCCTCACAGCACTTTAAGGCGGTATATTAACACGGCTCTTCTACTGAGTGGTTCGGCTCTCACTGTGGGTGAGTTAGAGGAGGAGCTTGCCCCGCTGGTCCCGTCCAGCCCTGCCGAACCAGCACGTCACGTCAGCCCTGACGAGCCTGCACCTCGCGACAGCACGGCCGAGCCCGCGCTTCTCGTCGGCCCAGCCGAGCCCGTGCTTCACGTGAGCCCCGACGAGCATGCACTTCACGTGAGCCCTGCCGAGTCAAGTGAATCAAGTGCCAAGTCAAGTGAATCAAGTGCCGAGTCAAGTGAACCGAATCCCGAGTCAAGTGAACCGAATCCCGAGTCAAGTGAACCGAGTGCCTAATCAAGTGAATCAAGCCCAGTGACGCGCCGTCGCAGGAGGAGGAGGACTCGTTTGGCTCGCCAGGCTCTGGTGAGAGTACCCAGACTCCTCGCCCTGCCGGCCCCGCCTCTGCGCCTCGCCCTGCCTGCGCCCTTCAAGCTCCGGGAGGCCTTTCCCGAACCCGTTTACCGCCCGGAGGTTCCTCCCGTGGATTTCCCCAAGTATTTTTTGGGGGGGGGGGGGGCAGTAGGTACTCTGTGAGGGCCATGGAGGCGACGCTGACATGGACCTCGTCTGAGTCTGCTCCGCCCTCGTCTGAGTCTGCTCCACCCTGGCCTTCGCTTCATCCTGTTCCGCCCTGGCCTTCGCCTCATCCTGCTCCGCCCTGGTCACCGGCCCAGTCTGGTCCGCCCACGCTCTGCGGCCCAGGCCCGGCTTGGCTACCTCCTGGTCCCGTTCCCCTGCACGGGCCTGGCCCTCCGTCCATCCCCCGGGATCGTCTTCGCTCTGCCCCCCGCCTGGATCTTCTTTGGAGCGTCTGGAAGCCGCTCCTTAAAGGGGGGGTTATGTGACGATGTTCGGCTGGATTGCCCTCTAGTGTCACGAGAGGGCGCTCCACTTCTGCACTGGCTTCCCTTGGACTGTTTTTGCACACACCCTGAACTGATTGCGCACACCTGTTTCCACTGATCACTCTCACACCTGCATCTAGTTCCACACGCAGCTCCACACTCATTTATACCCCACTCTCACTATCACTCATGGTTTAGTCTTGTTTTACTGTTGTGGACATCACCAAGCCTTTCCGAGTCTAGTCCTGTCTGTGTTTCTGACCCATCGCCTGTTTCCTGGATTCCGTTTCGTCTGCCGCCTGCCTCTGTCTTCCCGCCTGGTTATCAGACTCTGAGTATTGCCTTGTCTCCTATGCTGTGTCTGCTGTCTGTGACCATTGCCTGTCTGACTACCCTGTAAATAAACTCACGCTGCGTCTGGATCTACCTGTCTCTGGTTGTTCATGACACTTGTTTTGTCATAAACTCTACAACGCTATTTTCTAACTCTTTCAGGGTTCCGAAAAAAACATCAACTATGTCCCTAACTATATCATCATGTTCCCGTGAAACATCCTCCTCCTCTTCATCATCATCTTCCTCAACAGTGCTTCAGCAGAGACACTCCACTTTAGTACAGCCTCTCTGCATCAGTCCTCAAATGGTAAGAACATTAAAATAGATAAAATTATTTCTAGTTTTTACAGGTAATCAGAGTTGTTGAAGCAACTTGAATGAAGTGAAGCCTCTGTCATTGTAGGGTTTAAGGACTGTAGACAGTTGACTTTAACCAATCTGCCATTTTAGGGTTGACTACTCTAATCTGAAAATTATGAATATTATTAAATCTTTCTTTAATCTTCGCTTAAACCCTCTTTCTTTACCAAAATGTCTTTAAATGTGTGATGCAGGTATATGACAATGTCCTTCTCAGGGTTTGCTCTTTTATGTAATGCTTTGTGATTTATAAATTAATTGCTTGCTTGCTAATGCTGTTTACACCGCTAATCAAGTCCTTTAGGCTTATTTGAAAACTACAGGTGTGTTGGAGTTAGAACTAAACTGAGTTTTGCAAACCTGCTCTCAGCTCATCAGGATCTTTGCCTGACCGTACTACATGTATAAAGTACAATAGGGTTTTTTTTTTTTTTCGTACCAGTTTCCACATTCAAACATTAAACTTAGAAGTGTACGTTTTTTTTTAAAAGTGATAAAAAACTCTCACATGAATCCACCATTTTTATTCGACCAAAGCACAGTGAGTTGTGGGCCATATTAGCCATTATCAGTTCTGTTCCTAATCAAAGTTTAGCTCCAGTCCTGATCAAACATGCCTCCCTGTAATAACCAGGTTTTGATGTGTTTAATTATTTGAAATATCAGATCAACACGGGTTGTGATTTGTCCCACATTTTAAAGACCTACACATAGTTAAACAAACACATAAGGATTTTGCAGTGTAGAGAATACTAATAGCAAACTATAGAAATCAATTTCACAAGAAGTAGTCGAGAAGCTCATTTGCGCGTGATTGCATTTTAGCATCTTAGTGATGGAGCTAATCTCTGCGGGACAGTGTCTCTCCAGGACCCGAGTCACCTCTGTAGTGTCTGTGTTTTGCATACAGTATATAGATATATTTTTTTTAATAAATAACCGTACTTCCAGCCTAAACAGATTGTTGATCTGTGTTTTTGTCATGGTTCAGGTTCAGAACACAAATCATGGTTCAGGAAATGCTGGAGTTTCTCCAACATATGTCAAGGTAATAAACAATGACATAAACCTGAAGTTGCCTGGATCAGTTTCAGGTTGTGATTTGACGCTGTGAGCTCTGGTGTGGTTGTGTCCTGACAGCGTCTCCATGACGTGAGCACCGTGAAGGGGCAGCTGGTGGTTCTGGAGTGCAGGATCAGAGGAACTCCTCCACTGCACATCTCCTGGTTCAGAGAGAATGAGCAAATCCTTGATTCGGCAGACTTCCGTATTCTTAGAAAGAGTGAGTGGAAGATGCAGCATTATTTGACATTGTTTAAAGGAATAGCTCACCCCAAAATAAAAATGCGGTCAATGAAAGTAATCTTTACCCAGCTCTTTTCATACAATAACAAATCATAGTGACTATGTCTGGGAAGCTCTAAAAAGAAAAGAAAAAAAAATGCACCATAAAAGTAGTCCATATGACTTGTGTACTATATTCCAAGTACGGGAGCTTTTTGTAAAGACCAAAATTTGAGTGTTTTTTTTTTTTTTTTTGTGACACTTTGGCATTTGTGCACTATTTTTAACCTGAATACAACAGATGGAAAACACCAGCATATATACTATAGGTTTAATTTTTCAAGAAATTTCATTTGAACTGTTGCTTTAAAGATATAGGTATATAGGTATAATAGGTATAAATCACCTTCTATACAAGTCAATAAACTAAAACTGTTTCTTACTTTATTTTTTGTCCTTGTCAGAGGCAAGTTCAGCTTCTGTTCCTGGTGAGTAGACATATCTCTCAAATGGATGGTGCATAAAGGGATGGACTTATTCGTCTTTTGAGAGATAAACAAACAAGAGTTAAAAGCCTGACAAATATGTGTGTTTTATTGCAGAGGAATTGTGCACCCTAGTGATCACAGAGGCTTATCCGGAAGATTCTGGGATATTTAAATGCACAGCAACGAATCAGTTTGGAACTGCAACATGTAGTGCCATGCTTGAAATATATACAGGTAACTTGATTGTTTGATTCAATGCATGCTTACAAATAAATCTAAATGAATGTATGATGTACATATAATTATATTAATATTTTACAGAAGTGCATTATAACACATGAATGGAAAAACACAAAAATAAAAACACAGCTTAATTTTCTTGACACAACATGATGACTCCTGTACACACAACAAACACAAAAGCCCATGTATCTCGATGGTCCCACACAATCTGGGCCTCAGAAAGCGTACGCATAACTAGAACACCTGTTATTCATTAAACTCTCCACACTGTTTATTGTACCAAGTTTAAATCCATTCCATGGAATTCTGCAGAGAAACAAGGCAGCAGATTCCATTTGGGCCTAATAATGAATTGATCTATTTTACTGATACATATGTATATAATTGATCTATTTATCTAAAACGACAAGTGAAGAAACATACTACATTCATTGTTTAAAGGAATAGTTCACTTTTCATCATTTACTCACCCTCAAGTTGTTCCAAACCTGTATGAGTTTCTTTCTTCTGCTAAACACAAAGGAAGATATTTTGTAGAACGTCAGTAACCAGACAGTTTATGGACCCCATTGACTTTTGATAAAACATAATATGGAAGTCAATGGAGCCCATCAACTGTTTGGTTACCCACATTCTTCAAAATATCTTCCATTGTGTTTAGCAGAAGAAAGAAACTCATACAGGTTTGGAACAACTTGAGTAAATGACGACAGAATTTTCATCTTGAAGTGAACTAATCCTTTAATAATATAATTGTGTTCTTTCAAGACCTAGAGGAGGTTTTCGGAGATGAGGATGAGGATCCCTCTATAAGCTCAGCTGGACTAGAGCAAGATGAGCATCCCTTGTTACTACAAGAAACACTAATTCCTCCTCCAGAATGGCCCGACAGTTCTGAGGAAGAGACTGCCACCCCTGCAGCACGGTAGGAGATTTCCCAGCATCTGAGGCATTGCTAGAAGTTTAAGATGCAGAGGTCAACCAAAGATCAGATTTAAAAGCACATTTGGAAAGTACAGTAATGCTACAAAAACATCTGTAAAAAAAAAAAAAAAAAAAAAAAGTGCAGATGACTTCTTGGCTTGGTTAGGGTTAGGGTCAGGGTCATTTGCTGTCAGACAGGGAGTACAGAAAGCCAAGAAGTCCAGAAGAAAAAGCCTTGCAGCCACTGTTCAAGTTTTTCTCATCTAAGCTGCTTAATTGAAATCAGTTTATATGCTTTAATTTGTTCATTTTATATTATATAATCTAATAAAGAATTCTTCCCACTTGGGGATTGTTAACTATAACGTTATAGTTGTTACAGTTATGTATAGATTAAAAACAAGAAAGTTAATTCACATAGAAATGTAATCATTCTCGATTTCATAAATATATGAGATTTGCAATGCGATGAGATTAACATTGAATTGTGTGCATATTTTTGGATCTCTTCGTGTGCATTTCTGCATTCCAAGCTACATGTGGGTTTTTAAGTTAGTTATTTGTCTGGTATTGTTTTTATGTAGAGTGTGTTCATGCATTTTGATTCTCCTGTTATCGCCTGCGTTTGATTATAGACTTTGTATCAGCACTTCCTTGTGTGTAGTGTGACTAGAACACACCAGAAGCCTGTACAACCAGTACCCCCTGATAAATAATAATAATAATAATAATAATTAATAATAATAATAATAATATAATATTATATATTATTATAATATAATAATATATAATATTATTTTTTATTTAATTAATAAATAGGATAAGTTTATATTACATACTGTTTCTTGACATTTATTTTGGATTTATTGTCAGTACTGGGTGTGTGTGTGTGTGTGTGTGTGTGTGTGTGTGTGTGTTGTGTGTGTGTGTGGTGTGTGTGTGGTGTGTGTGTGGTGTGTGTGTGGTGTGTGTGTGGTGTGTGTGTGGTGTGTGTGGTGTGTGTGGTGTGTGTGGTGTGTGTGGTGTGTGTGTGTTGTGTGTGTGTGTGTGTGTGTGTGTGTGTTTTACTGGCTACTGTGTTTGTACGGTCAGTTGTTGGCTACAGAGAACATAAAACCATCACAATTATATCAGGGGTTTTCAAACTTTCTATAGCAATTTACCTAGATATAATTAGAGATAGTTGGAACAAGTTCCTCAACGGTGTTAGAGATCAGAAATATAGACAAAAGTTCTGAAATTTCAAGTCAAAAGTTCAAAAGTCAAGTTACATGATAGAAAAGATTGTAGCGGGAGATAAAAATGTTACATTTGTTCACCTGGATTTGTCACTAACTCATTTGTTTGAGGTATCCACCTTTTTTCCTACGCTCCATGACGCTTTTCACAAATTATGCAACTTCCATTAAACTGTAAACAATCAGAGAAAGGTTCGCTCTATGAACGCAATAATAAGCATTATCAAAACTGGGTACAATGAGACATTATTTTACTCACCCTTCAACCATCGAACATTAACAAGAAAATGTAAAAATGTTAAAGCATCAGCAAATAACAACAGTGCTCTTAGCATAGATATTCTTGTCTGATAATAGAACAATAAGGAAAGTTTACAGCTCATTCAGTCAAACTGACTGATAAAGATTATTTGTAGTTCAACCTTTGAAATGATTTGCTTCAGTCTTTTTGAGTAGAACTTTCCCAAACTGGAAGTGCCTCCCGTAATCTAAAATGAGTAGGCTGTTAGGAAAAAGGTGAATATAAAACAAGCTACGATAATAGATGGTTTCTTTGTCAAGATTTCTCTGTTCTGTTTATATTGAAATTCGAAGGCTTCAAGTTGCAAGTAGGAATATTTTGTATCTATTGCCCTCCTATTCCCATACTTCACTTATCAAAACTATAATGTGGGCAATTAACAGTTGGCAATGAGGCTACCATCAAAGAGTGGAGGTTCTAGCTAGACAGCAGTCTTCATGTCACGAGTATGTTGGTTTCTTTGCGTTTTGGTTTGGTTTTATTCTGTTCGCTTTGTGTTGTCAATCCTTGTTTGTTTCCATGGTTACTGATTATGTTACGCACCTGTCTCTAGTACTGTTGATTAGTCTCCTTGTGTATTTAAGCCCTGACTTTTCCTTGCCTAGTGTTAACTTTGTTATAGCATGTAGTGCTTGGTTTTCCCTGGTGTTCATTAAAAGTCAGTTTTAGATCTGGCATGCATCACCCACTATCAAGACACGTGTGCCCCTGGACGTGTCTATGCCAAGAGTGGGTGCTGTGCCAAATGACTCTCCATTCACCATCTGCCTCAAAGAGGAGGTCAATGCCAGCCCCACTCCAAACCATAGACTGTAAAAAAAGATGCACAATGCAACTTCACTCTCTTCCATTGTAGAAAAGTGAAGTCGCCAATGTCCCAATATGGCGCTGACATCATAGCAGTAGTGAGCGTGAAGTGGAGCCGCGGTATCAAGGCCCTGCACACATTCCCACAGAATCATTTAGTACAGTTTACTGCAGAACAAGTCATTATGTCGGTGTAAAACATACAGTTATGGAAATGTAAAAAAAAATTATGTAAAAAATTAAAGTTAAAGCTCCAATCTCCTCCTTTATATATCCCGGAAAGTTTAAACAAACACTTGAACTTACATCAGCGTGATAAAAAAAAATTACCTAAAATGGCAGAAACCATCTTTGGAAAAAAATGTATTTGAAGTGTAATTAGATTTAGTTTGTCTCACATCCCATTAGATTACTAGTCTGGGTTTCCCCATACTGCCTTCCCGCAGCGCGATTTTATTCACGCTGAAAGGCAGTATGGATACCATGGACCACATTTTCGCCTAATTTAGGGAACCAATCACAGAACGGGGAGGGAGCAGCAAGACGATGACGCGTCTATGCGACACACCGAAGAAGTTTGTTTATACCTATGGATCAAACATGGCAGTAGACGCGAAGTTGCCTTTCGATGCAGCCTTACGGCCGTTTCACACGTAGGTTTCACACCGCAAGCGTGAGCGGCATTTGAGCAGCGCGTCAGCGTAACTACATCGTCACTGCAGCTGCAGACGCGCGAGAGTATTCACACTGGAAGCGTTTGTACAGTGTCACAGCAGCGGCTCCAAAGCTACATATCGTTAGCCTCATAGCATAATTGCTTAAGTCATTTTGTGTTTTTTCTTGTTTTCCAAAGACATTGAAATATGACTTCGGCATTATATATAAGCGAGCAATTCTTTACAAAGACAACTATACATTTGTTTTTAGAAGTTGGTCATTTTATAACATTGATAGTCTTGAAAGTTTGTAATGGGGAGGTGTACAACATTCGCATGAGTTAAATTTAATACAACAAAACAACCCAGAAAATGGCTCCAATCTATTAGTTTCAGTCATACTTTCGATGTTTACAAGACCGCAACTCCGCGGATAAAAAACAAAACACACAAATAAACCACACACTCGGGTTTGATTTGGGTTGTGCTAGCCTGTAGGTGTCTGTGTGTTAACGTTACATGAACTAAAAGAACGTTTATATATAATATTTTCTGGCTAGTTTACTTTAGTTTTTTTTATTTATATAATACACAACTTTCACCCAAACTGAATAATTAAAAACGTTTTTACCGGGTAAATCTTCTATAAATATTTTAGAGTCTTTATTTTCTTTTATTTGCCTACTCAAGTTCTTGTTAAAACTCACTAGACATGCTAATTCTGTGCATTTTGGGCACCTTTTGTGTGAAATCACATTTATTTTTGTCCATCAAAAGTGTGCTTTCACTTTAATTTAGCGTGAGCAATGCAGCAAAAAACAGATTCGAAACCCCCGCTTCACTGCTGCTCACGCGCCGCTCCTGCTCGACGCTCACGCGCTGCTCCCGGTGTGAATGCACTCATTGCTTAACATGCACGCCGAAAAAAAATACGCGCCGCTCACGCATGCGGTGTGAAACGTACATAATGTGAAAATCTACATTAATGATTGATGGATTGGACAATATGATTCCTCAGTCTCCTGTTGACGCTGGTCCTGCCTAGCTCCAAGTCTTCTGTGTCTTTGCTGGTCCCACCCATCTACAAATCTCCTGCATCTCTGATAGTGCCACTGCTCCCTTCAGTTCCTCGGCTCCTCCTCTGTTTACTCCACTCTGCTGCGAGGATTCACCTCGGGTCTTCCTGTCACCAGCTCCGCCTTGGCACGTGGACCCCCTGTCTCTGCCAACCCCGTTACTCCACCTCGGCCCGTCAAACAGTCGGCTCCACCTTGCCTTCTACTTCCCTCGGCTCCATCTGTGACCATTGTCCTCACAGCTCCACTGGGCTCCTTCGTCCTTCCGGCTCTGCATTGATCAATTGTCACTCTCCCCACACCATGGACTTTTGGGCCTTGGGATGAACCTCGTCCCTCCTCCTTTTCGGCTCCATCAGGCTCCTCCTTGGTCCTCGGTCCCACCGGCTGCGCCTCAGTCCTCAGGCACCCTGGCTCCCCCTTAGCCGCTCGTCACCGCGGCTCCACCTTGGCCTCCAGTGCCCGGTTGCATAAAGCACCTTAAGTTTTTCCCTTAAGTATGATACTTAAGGGGAGATTTACCCTTACCTAAGAGAACAACTTAAGGGTGTTGCATATAATCTCTTAAACGGTTCTCTTAGGTAAGGGAAACATTTAAGTGTTTCACGACAGCGATCCTGGATTCACGTTATAAAAGTCTGTTGTTGCCATAGATACGCAAAACACTAACATGTCGGAATATCACGTGTCAGTCCAGTGACGCTATCACGCAACACCGCGTTAGCTCCGAACGTGGCGGCAGTTTGTGTTGTTCACCGTCTCATGCTTTGGCATTTGTTTAGGTTTTGTGAATGCACTTCTGGCTCTGTGTCTCGAAATACAGCTGAGTATATTTCCATAGCATACCTGTTTTCTTCTGTCATGATTCCTTTTAAAACACAGAATCAGCTCGTTCTCCTGTGAATTTTTTGTCGGCCACACAC